GCTCATTGCAATTCGGCTGTGCCGCCATGATATTTATGTTTGGTTTTATTTTCCAGTCGTTAAACCATTTACCTAATATTTTTTTTCTTCATTTATTCATTCTCATTTATGTGAATTTTTTATCAGGGTGGACTTTACCTTAAAGTGACTCGGTAACATTGTTGAAGGTTGATGACAAAAATGCATACTTTTTTTTAATGAAATGTTATTTATTATATTCCTTTTACTGTACTTACCCTCTAAAATGCAAAAAAAATCTGAAAAAATTCTCAAACCACAAAGATATTTATGGTTTCTTTGAAGGCGTCATTGTGCGACGCCCACTTACCGCAAATTCTCCCAACAATTTTTGAAAATTTCCAAACCGTTTTTCCATGAAAATAAGACATAAGACAGGCTTTTTAAAATCTAGTAGGCAGAATTAAGGAAACGGTCAGATCAGTTTGCCTTATCCCAGTTTTTATCATGAATAATGGTCTCTTTTCACTCAAACTTTCAGATTATCTTTAATTGTACATCTAGTACAACTTAGCACCATTTTCTCTTATCTGAACATGCAGTGTTCCATAATGACTCGCAGATAAAAAATCAAATCATACAGTTTGAATATTGTTTTATTTCTTCTACGTATCATTCTTTATTGTACATTATCAAATTTCAAATGTCAATAATAAAAGTCATTAAAAAAATACATTATACGGTTTCTCTACCTTCTTTTTATACTATATAAAAACGAAATGTTATCGTCCTAAACAATTCAAAGGTCTGTACAGTATGTCAGACATTTTGATGAAAAGAAAAGAACGTATACCGTATTAAAAGAGCTACATCATGATGTGATATATATACAGCATATATTTAGGATTACATATTGAGAGAAGCATATATATCAAGGGAAATAGTTACACGTAGGCCTACATGTATTATGCAACTGACAGACACAACAATAATTTCAAAATGTCCAAATGAAATATATAATTACTCAAGGGCACAACTTAGATTTCATGAGCGGGTCTGAAAAGTTTTTAAATTATCTAAGTGGTATACAAAAAGTCTGAAATGTGGCCCCCAAAACAAGTTACCATGGGCCTATGGGCTTTTACGTTGAATTAATGCATGTCGGGTTTACAGGGCAATCCAACATTTGTTACGAGTTCGTTTGTATGAAAGGAAAATGAGAGAAACAGAATGGCGAAAAATTAAAATAAATCGGACCAATGATAACGGAGTTAAAATTGTTTGAAATAACAGATCACTCAATCTTTGGGCATCTCAAATGTCAGTGGACAACTCTCCCGTTTGTCATGTGCAAGATTATATGTATCATCAATTCTTTGTTTTCCTTCTGCTTAGTGCCTTCTCCCTTTAGTCGGGGCACCTGTACTTGAAATATATTATGCATAGCATAATTATTGTTGGAGATCCTCTAAAGAGAAAAGACCGTCCTGAGCAAAAAATTATGAACAATTGGCATTTTAGTCATTTTGTGTGTCGAAGCCAGGCGCGGATCCAGGGGGGGGGCAAGCGGGCCTTGCTCCCCCCACAAACAAAAGAGAGAGAGAGAGAGAGAGAGAGAGAGAGAGAGAGAAAGAGAAGGAACAGAAGGGAAACAGGAAAGAAAGGGGAGAAAAGGAGAAAAGAAAAGGGAAAACGAGATCGGGGGGGGGGGGCGAAAGGGCCTCGCCTCCCAGCTGTTACCCCCCCCTTCAAAACATAAGAGAGAAGGAAGGAAAGGGAAAGAGAAAAAGAGGAGACAAAGGGAATGAAAAAAGAGGAAGAAGAAAAGAAAAGAAGGGGGATGTCAGTTGCAGTTTTCCCGCCAACAATTTGTAGTTCGGGGTGGCGGGCAAAAAGCTCTTGCCTCCCCCCCCCCCCACCCCAAAAGGGGGGGGGGAGGGAGGGAAAGGGAAAGAGTAGAGCTAAAATGGAACACAAAAGAGGAAAAGAAAAGGGTGACAAGAAGGGGAGAACAGTTGCGATTAATCCCGCCACCAACGTGTGGATTGGGGGGGGGGGGGGGCGAAAGGCCCTTGGCTCCTCGGCAAGCAACCTAAAACAGAGAGAAGGAAGGGAAGGGAAAGAAAGAGGTTAGAGAAAGTGAAAGAAAAAAAAAGAGAGAAAGAAGAAAGGTAAGGGAGATCAGTTGCGATTTTTCCCGCCAACAAGGTGTATATCGGGAGGGGGGCCCACTGGCGTACTGATGGGGGAGGGGAGGGGGTTTGGGGGTGTGACAGATGCCCCCCCCCCAAAAAAAAAATATGATTGAAATGTGGTTTATATCTAATTCATTACCTCTGATGTACAAATGTTGCTGAAATGACATAATATTCCGGGATTTTTTCTCAATCTTTTGTAAATAATACTTTTTATGCCTTTGTTCGAAAATGGCACATTCCTAAAGAAAGAAAAAAAAGAATAGTGACCTGCCTTTGTCACAAAATAATGAGGTGTCAAAATTTGCTCATCTGACCGACCGTGACTAAATGCCTAAAACCCCTGAGCTTTCGGGGGCTCTGCCCCCTGGATTCTACCTAGGGCCCAAAGGCGGGCACCTGGATGCTCATCTGAATGTAATTTAATTCCTAAAACCCCTGAGCTCCTAGGGGCTCCGTCTCTGGACCCCACACCAAATAGTGACCTGCCAGTGTCACAAATAAGGTATCAAAACATGTTCATCTGACCGTAATTCATGCCTAAAACCCCTGAGCTTCCGGGTGCTCCGCCCCCTGGACCCCACGTCAATTTGTGACCTGTCAGTGTCACAAATAAGGTATCAAAACATGCTAATCTTACGGTAATTTAATGTATCAAACCCCTGAGCTTCAGGGGGCTCCGCCCCTGGACCCCACACCAATGTGTGTCTTGTCACTGTCACAAATAAGGTATTAAAGATATGCTCATCTGACCGTAGTTTATTGCCCCAAACCCCTGAGCTTCCGGGAGCTCCGCCCCTGGACACCACGCCAATTCGTGGACTGCCAGTGTCACAAACAAGGTATAAAAATATGCTCATCTGACCCTAATTTATTGCCCAACACCCCTGAGCTTCCGGGTTCTCCGCCCCCTGGACCTAAGCGAATACGTGACCTGAAAGTGTCACAAATAAAGTATTAAATATTCACCTCTGACGGTAATATTTTACTGTTTAAAACCTCTGGGCTTCTGGACCCCACACCAATTTGTGTCCTGCCAGTGTCACAAATAAGGTATCAACTCCTTTACCTCCGCCGGAGCTTCGCCCCTAAACCCCACGCCAATTTATGCTACGCTCTACCTGATCGTAAATACCACCCCCCCCCCCCTCCACCACCTACTTAGAGAAACGTTCAGCGGGTCCTGCATATGCAAGAGTGTGGGTGATGTGGATTTTTGTTGTCTACCCCCCCCCCCCCCCTCCAAACGTTTTTTCTCATTTCGCCACTGCCGGTGTCACCATTACGAACCAGTATTTGGCTCGCATAATTTCAAATTTGCCCCCCCCCCCCCCCCCCCCTCCCTTAAGAAATCCTGGATCCGCGCCTGGTCGAAGCAAATGGGAAAGTTGTCCGGCACTACGTCACAGTGACATTACCAACTTATATAATGATTACAACTCTGACAAATTCATAACTTTCTTATTTTTTGTCCGGTCCCATTCAAACTTTCATCAGTCTTTTGCTTAACGTGAACCCCATCTCACAAATAAATGAAGTAAATGTGGAGGATAGAGCTGTTTTTGAACTTATAAAATACATATTAGAGAACGTATTTCTTGGTAATGATCTCGTTTCCTAGTTGAACTGGTTGACCGTGGTACTAACCTTAAAATTTATTTAAAGTCAACAACTGAATTTTTCATACTCCTTGAAACTGTGATGTGTTTGCTGTGTTTGTGAATGAAAGGTGGACGAATCAGTGCCTTTGATGAATACTTAGATGTTCTCAAGAAAAAGAAAAATCTGGACAAATCAATTTTTCATATGCAGTCATATACTTTCACATTTACGTACAAAACTCGGTGATGGTACGACTATTTTAGTTGTTTCACGGTATATTATTAAATGGATGCATGGGACAAAAAGTTAGAGAAAAGGGTCAAGTAACTTCAGTCTAATCTGATGAACACCAGGAAAGAAGAGGCGTGAATCATTTAGGCTTCCCATGCTCTCTTGCTCTCTTCATTTGCTCTGTATTCAAACAATATAAAACTCCCTGGGGGTCCTAATGGGCGCTAAAATGGCTTATATAAAGCGCAATAGGGAAATTTGGTGTCTTCGGGAATATTTGAACCCCATCCATTTCTGATAGCTTGGACCCCAATGAATCCAAAAATGCAAAAATGCAAAAAAATGCAAAAAAAAATTTTGGCACAAAAGTCCTACGGGAGCTGTTTCAGTGACATACTGTACCACACTATAAGAGGAATAAGTATCTTTTGCTCAAAGCAAATGAAGCAGTTCGCGAAAGAAATTCCAGAGTTGGGATCTTCAAATTTTTGCCAATATATGTGTTAAATTTGTCAATGCCAACTACCTTCTTATATGAATTCCGTTACATTGTTGATTACAGTCAAGTTATTATTGTCAAATACTAAATGCTGTTGGTGGCGCTCTTACTATAGCAACTTCACTGTTATCAGTGCTGTGGAAAATCTTTTACTAATTTTGCGAGTCTACTCCTCAAAACGTGTGATACGTATCGATTATTGCACAGATTACACTTTTATCTCTAAATATGTTATTTCTTGTAACTTGTTCAAGTTAAAATCTGTCGTATATTCATCATGACACTCCTGTAATTCTTCCCTTTTCTTGTTGTATCCTTCTCTCTCTCTCCTCACACACATTTCTTCTCTCTTCACGTCTCCTTTTAAAAAAAAAAGATCTCTTTCCTTCCTCTCTCTCTCTCTCTATCATTGTTTTGTTCTATTTACTCGTCATCAAACCCAAGTTACCCAACCATTTTTTTCTCATTTATGTGAAATATTGACTCGCAGATAAAAATTATGTCCAATCAAATCATACAGTTTGAATATTGTTTTATTCCTTTTACTTATCATTCTTCATATTAAATGACTGTACATTATTCAATCTCAAGTGACAATAATAAAACTCATTTTAACAAAATGTTAACATCCTTAAAAATTCAAAGGTCTATACAGCTTGTCGGACATTTTGTTGAAGAGAAAATAAAGTAAAACGTATTAAAAGAGCTACATGATGTGATATATATTATACAGCATACATTTTAAGAAAAGCATATATCAAGGAAAATATTTACATGTGCATGTATTATGCAACTGACATACACAAAAATAGTTTTCAAAATGTCAAATTGAAATACATAATTACTCCAGGGTACAAGTGAAATTTCACGATTGAGCCTGAAAAGTCTTTAAAATAATTCATACAAAAAGCCTGAAATGTGCCCCGCTTTCTAAACATTACTAGGGGCCTAGGGCATCCCTGTACTCAAGGTTCTTGATCCCCAATACCATTCATTGATTAAACCATTGTGAAATTTGAATACATATATATATATTTCTTAGACACTAAGAAAATCAAATAAGATAACTAGTGCAATAACCACCTCTATTTTCATCTTTTAAGTGCAGCTATAGTGGAGTTCTTTCACAATAATTTGTTGCATGACTATGTCGGTCTTTCCTTCGTGTCCCCTCCCCCCCCCCATTCATCAAATATTTGTGTCCCGAAGAGGGCAGACATCAAAACTAGCTTTTCTGCAACATTCCATTTCTACCTCTTTCGTTTCACAATCCCTCTCCTTCTCGGTCCAAACATTTCCAATCAAATTGAAATCTAGAAATCTGGAAAAAGAACTATAAACTCGACACTTGTTTACTCATTTGGCAATACTGAGAACAAACATGTTTAGGGTCAAACAGCCGATGCAGGGGATGACACGATGATGATGTCCAAGGTTAATGTTCGACCTGCTGAAATGTCCAGTTTGGGATGGCACTCGAAGGTTATGAAGGTAACAACATATCCTTCAAATCATGATATCAAAGTCTTTTCTAGAGCATTGTAGAAGGACCGTCTAGTCATCTCCGAATGTCTTCTTCTTGCCCTGGAAAGCCTTGATGCCGTCCTTCTTCTCGAAACCTGGAGGAGTTGGAGGTAAGAAGAACAAAAGTTGATAATGAAATGTTTGTAATTGAGGATGAGGCAATTAAAAAATGTAGGGTCCTAGGTGTGAAAGACATAGAGGAAGGCACATTACAAAATGTTTTAATATCACAGAAACTCCAACACCAACCCCAATAAAAATAATTATGTGGGACATTCACAGGATGAATAACGATTTATATATTTCATTCTATCAAAAGTTCTGCCTTTATCAATTCATGGGAGGACAAAAAAGAAGGAAAGCTGTGTCGAATGAGATTGCAATCGTTTATCCTATGGCAGGTTAACAAAGCACACATATCTGGAGATAACCGAAGTGAATGAATTGAAGTAATTGGAACCACATGTTTCAGGAAATACCATAACACAGTTCATTTCTCCTAGATAATACGGCCTCATAAAGAGACTAAGTGTACCACCTACATCAGTGTGTTGGGCCACAAAAGAAGGCTTGACAATGGTTCGAGGTGACTGGGGTTAATCTAGCATGGCAATCTGGCCGAGTAAGGCTATATGGTAAGCCATACCGGAATCCTGCATCACCATGCAATGTCTATTCAAACATGTCATAACTAGATCGAAAATGATAACTCCGCAATAGAGCGATTTTACAAACCAAAACAGAAGCAACTGTTAATATTCAAGTTTGATTGTAATCCATTAACAGGTTCTCAGAGTATCATGATTACAAGCTTTTTTTTTTTTTTTATATACATGGCTCCCGCAAGATAAATACACGTCTCAAGTTTGACAGTAATCCATTTATCTGTTCTAATGATCATGGTTTCACAAACTATGTTGGCATACATAATGAGTTCATTAACTTTTGACCTTTGACCTCATGATCCCAAACTCTATTTAGTTCATTGGCTCTGCAAGATACATAAACGTGTCTCGAGTTTGATGGTTATCTGTCCACTGGTTCAAATGATAGTGTGATCACCCATTGGCTCTGCAAAATACATACATGCTGTAAGTATTGAGAAGGATCTTTTCTGTATGGATTGAAATCAATAGTTTGAATTTGAATATATTGGGATGATAATTATCCTCCATCAAAGTCCTTAGCAACTACTGTTCCCAAGATGGTGAAAATAAAATTTCAAGACTTACCTCCTCGTCCCCTTCCTCCGCCGAATCCTCCCCTACCGCGACCACCGCCGCGTCCACCGAAACCACCTCCTCCCCGTCCTCCGAACCCACGACCACCGCCTCGTCCACCGAAGCCGCGTCCTCCTCCTCGTCCACCAAATCCACCTGTAACAAACATGGGTATGTCTAGTTAGAATCCACTGTATTGTATTGGATAATACCAGTAATTAAAATGATATTAATAACAATAATACATGTATAGAGCCCAGAAACTATCCAACATTAAGTATATATTCTACTGCGTTACAAGAGCTCCTGATTTACAGTTAATTAAAAAGATGTGCTTCCAGTTTTGATTGTAAGATATTCACAGATGGTGATTTCTTGACTTAATGGTAAGTTATTCCAGAGTTTTGGGGCTGCACAAGCAAATGGTCGATCACCTAGCGTTATTTTTTTTTTTTTGTAGACGGGATCTGCAGCAACAAAGTATCTTGGGAGCTGCGCAAGTTACAATGTGTTGATTAAGTTTGAAATTCAACAGTTCCTTGATATTAAAAGTCTTTGTGGCGCAGGGTAGCCTCATCAGTATTCATGCTGTTAATTAATCCCGAGGGCCCTGCAATCACATCATTACACCAACTTTGTGGTAAATCTTGGTCACCAAGAATGCTTAGACAGGACTTGAATGTCTTCAATGGTGAATATTTATGTTTTTCGTAACTCGAGAACGTAAGGTTGACTGGCTGAATTAGGACCTTTGATGAATTTCAGTGACTGAACATAACCTGCCCTACTATACCAAATGGTTAAATAAACCCCCCCCCCCCCCCCCCCCCCCCCGTAACTCCAGAACATACGGTGGACTGGCTGAATTAGGACCTTTGACGAATCAATGATGTAAGCTCTAATATTTCACATTCTCAAGAACCATAAATCGGGACAAATTTTTTTCATACACGAAAATTATAAAAAACCTGACAAGGACATGAATAATTAAGTTGTTAAAAGTTAATATTTAGGAGCCTCAAGTGGAAAATCAAAAAAAAAAATTACCTCGGCCTCCAGGGCTGCTGGTTCGTTCCCTAGCGAAGTCTAGGAACATGCCTTCGTTACCCTGGTAACTATCAATAGCTGACTGGGCTCCACTGCGGTCTTCAAAATCAGCATATGCAAACCTGAAATATAAAACACATACATATACATTGTGAAATAATAGTCAGACCTGTCTATAGCGACCGCCAAAGGGATACACAAAACGTGGTCTTTACGTACGTTCCAATGAGAAACCATTTTCAGGGGAAACTAAAGCAGGTTCGACTGTTGCAAACCTATCGATCTCGGGAGTTGCACAAAGGCACCACAAAGAACTACATTTATTTACGCCCCAGCATTGACCCTGCTGCTATAAGGCAGGGTAAAATTCCTACCAAGCACCTATTCACTACACCTGGGGGGTGTTTCACAAAAACTTGCCATCAGTGACACATGACAGTTTTTGTTATAAGCTACTGAAATCCTTGCTTCTGATTGGTCATTAGCAGATTTGTCACTGCTTTGTGAAACACCTCCTGGGTGGAGAGTGGCTCATGTAGATTACTCTCTTGCCAAAGAACATTTTTGCTGGACTGGGAATCATAACGAAGAACTACATGATCCACAGTCTGGCAATGCATCCACTGAGCACCTCTAGAACCTCTGTTCTTTGAAGGAAGTCCATGTCCATACACTTAAATAGTTAACATTCCGCATTTACCAAATTTCAACAACCCTTTAAAAAAGAAATGCAATGCTTAGACATAGATGTAAGAATGTTGGGCCAGCTTAGTTAGCACAAGATATCAATAATCACGTACATGTGGTTCCGACTCATTCATCTTCCCTTCGGTCTTACATGCAGGTAGTTGGTAAAGCTACAGGCATGCCTTATTTGAAGGATGTCAACTCTGTATTACAGATCCCTCAAAAAAAACTTAAAAATTCATTAAACTCCTGCTTAATTGGTAAACGGTGAGCTTTTCTTACCCTTTTATCTCGTTGGTTTCCCTGTCCCTAGGAATTCGGACCGATGAGGCACCAAGAGAGCTGGCAATGGAGTCTTCAGTAGCATCATGCGAGATGCCCTTTACAAACAATGTCTTGCTGTTGGAGGTATCTGATTGCAAAACATAAATGGGTATCAGAGTTACATGTTCTCGAGGGAACGACAGTAATTTACAGGTTTGTGAACAGAAATGTTAAGATTTCAGATGCAGATAATTCTATTTTGTTGCAAACAAAATTTTAATAAATAGCATTTTTAAAGTCATTGAATACCTCTTTCGCCCTGAGCATTATTTGCATGTTACATATTAATTTTCTACCACTGAGATTCATGTGCAGTATTTGAAGTTAAATTGCATTTTCATTTGTTAACCCTATTTAGCCCGGGGGGGGGGGGGGGGGGGGGGGGGCTTGAGAAGCCCCCCCCCCTCGACATTTTTCGCGATAATTTTTTAACGCAAGAAAATCTTGCACTGAAATTTTGTGACTTTTTTCTTTCGAGTCTTGCGCAACTTTTGAAAGAAATTTTTCGAAAATCGGACCTACCATTACAACGGCACGTGTCCTTTTGTCTTCGCAGGTCAGCCCGAAAATCGCTCATTTTTGTGATTTGTGTACAAAACATATGGAAATCTCATTTTTCAAATAAAGAGGTAAAACATTGGTTATTTGGTCTTGTTTAGATTTTAGGTGTTTATTTTGGGGTCAAAATAGTTGAATTATAGTTGGAAATGAAATAAAACAACAAAAACAATAAAATACATAAGTTAAACTAGATGGAATTCGACTGCGCGCAGTCGAAAATGATGCCTCCGTTAAAGAGCAATTTTACAAACCAAAACAGAAAAAAAAAATTGAATTCACGTTCAATGGTAATCCATTGACAGGTTCTCAGAATATTGTGATTACAAGCAATTTCTCATATACATATATGACCCTTTGATCTTTGACCTCATGACCATAAAATCTACTCAGTTCATTGGCTCTGCAAGATGTTCTGAGTTAAATAGTAATCCATCTGTCAGTTCTAATGAGAATGCATTCACAAGCTATTTTTGCATACATAATGGGCTCATGACCTTTGACCTTTGACCTTATGAACCAAGAATCTACTCAGTTCATTGGCTCTGCAAGTAACAAACATGACCTAATTTTGGCATGAATCCATCAATCGGTTCTTGAGATAACGCGATCACAAGCTGTTTTTGCATTCATAATGTGCGCTGTGGCCTTTGACCTTTGACCTACGTGCTCCAAAATCTACTCAGATCGTCTTCCTATGGTGATACACACTATCACTAAGTTTGAAGTTTAAATCTCCAGTGGTTCTTGAGATATCATGATAACAATCTCAATGTATGGAATTTCATAAGTTGACCTCTGTGACCCTTGACCATTGACATACGTGCTCCAAAATCTAATCAGATTGTTTTCCTATGGTGATACATACTATCCTTAAGTTTGAAGTTTAAATCTCAAATGGTTCTTGAGATATCGCGCTAACAAACTCAATACAAGGAATTTCATAAGTTGACCTCTGTGACCTGTGACCTTTGACCTACGTACTCCAAAATCTAATCAGATCGTCTTCCTATGGTGATAAATACTATTCCCGAGTCTTAAGTTTAAATCTTAAATGGTTCTTGAGATATTGTGATAACGGTCAAACGGGACGGACGGACGGACGTACGGACGGACGTACGGACGTACGGACGGACAACCCGAAAACATGATGCCTCCGGCACCACCTTCGGTGGCGGAGGCATAAAAAACAAAGAAATACATAAGAAATTATCAAAACAATAGATAACATAAGGAATAACCCTGGTTTTTCAAATTTTTGTGTTGTATTATTATTCCAAATGGTCTAACAAATATATGAAGTGAGATAGAATGCTTTAATATGAATAATGTCTGATTTATGGGCAAAAATGTGAATTTAATGACCTTATTTGCATAAATTACCATAAATATGCAAATGAGTGAATTTTTCAAAAAAATTGAAATTACCATAGTATTCTATACACTTCACTTGACATGTACGCAAATTTTCGCGGCATTGGCGTTTCACGGCCGAGATCATAGGGGGGGGGGGGGGGGGCCTTAGAAGCCCCCCCCCCCCCCGGGCTATGCAGTTTCAAAATAGCCCGGGCTAAATAGGGTTAAGGTAATATTCCAGAAAGTGAATAAAAGTCATAAAGGGGGTATTTGAAAAAGATCAGTGACAAAAGCTTCCCGATAAACATGGCATTATACATGAGCCAAAAGACATTGATTTGAAGCTTGTCTGTTTGGCAAGGAGGGATTAGACCACCCAGGGTGGTCACTGACATCTCATCAACTCGGCTCTCAATTAACATAAGAAAAAGAGGATCATGGGGACCAATGGTAACCGATTAGGCATTGTTTTCTATATAGAGGGAGCAAGTAGCTACAAGTAGGATAGTGTGACTTTTTAAGTCAAATATCAAGTACGTTAAGTAAAACCAACTTTTGCCTACCTCCACCACCAAATGAGCCGAAACCACCACCGCGTCCCCCTCCTCGTCCGCCACCACCGCGTCCTCCTCCACGACCACCGGGAGATGCAAAGTTCTTCCTCTTGGATCCGCAGTAGTCTAGCATCAAAGACCAGCCATCAATCTCAACTCCTTGCTGATTCTTCAGGGCTTCCTCAGCAGCCTCCTCGGAAGCAAACTCGATGAATGCAAATCTAAAAGAGAAATTGGTAAAAGGTTATGAAACAACTCGAGATTACATTCAATACACTGCTCTTAGTTCAAATGTCAGACTGCTATCTGCAAACGTTTTAAAAATTGATTCAAAAGAAATAAATTAAGTCTTAAAAACTAGATGGAACTCCGTCATAGAGCAATTTTATAAACCAAAACAGAAGAAATTTTTCAAATTCAAGTTCAATTGTAATCCATTAACAGGTTCTCAGAATATCGTGATTACAAGCAATTTCTCATATACATATATGACCCTTTGATCTTTGACCTCATGACCCTAAAATCTACTCAGTTCATTGGCTCTGCAAGATGTCCTGGGTTAAATAGTAATCCATCCGTCAGTTCTAATATTTGAGCCCATGACCTTTGACCTCATGAATCTACTCAGTTCATTGGCTCTGCAAGATACATACATGACAAAAGTTTGGCAGGAATCCATCAATCGGTTCTTCAGATCACGCGATCTTGAGATACTTCGTAGCGGAGGCATAAAAATATCTTTCATCAATTAATTGAAATTTGAAACCCAAATCAATGAGGATTGTGCCCTTTGGTACTAAGTCCCTCAGAGAAGACTTAAAGCCATCAATTCCACGGTTGCTTACTAACAAGCACACACATGCTTTTTAGGTCAGGTAAAACAATCCTCAAACCCTGAGACTACTCACCCCTTTGGTCTGCCTTCCTCATTCATAGGAATCCTAGCATCTGAAGCGCCAAAGTTCTCGATCAGTGTCTCTTTACTGGTGCTGTAACTCAATCCCTTGGCAAACAGTGTTCGCTCATCCGATCCGTCACTTCTTCCCCCTACGAGAGCAAAGGGAAAGCAATGTTAAAGGCCCACTGCACTACTGGTAGCTACTTGCGCCCTCTATATAAAAAACAATGCCTAATCGGTGACCATTGCTCCCCCATGATCCTCTTTTTCTTTTGATAACTGAGAGATGAGTTGATGAGATAACCACCTGTCCAGTGACCTTGCAGAGCGGTCTAATCCCTCCTGTAAACTACGGCAGATAAGCTTTAACATATCATACACCTATTATCTTTCAATATACATTACAGATCTACTCAATACCCTTGCATATAACTTGCCAATGATGGTAACTATACCTGCAATATTGACTACCATGGCAAAGTTACTATCAATGCTAAGTGGTATACGACAGGGTGCTGATCTGTTCAATATTCAACAGGTTTGCCTTTTAGTCATGTTATTCTTGTAGGACATAATGCGGGCATACATTTTTTTCAGATGCAAGTAAACCAATTGATACTTATTCAAATAAAAATCAGATATTACTAGATGGAACTTCGACTGCGCGCAGTCGAAATGATGCCTCCGTCATAGAGCAATTTTACAAATAAAAACAGAAGAAATTGTTCAAATTCAAGTTCAATTGTAATCCATTAACAGGTTCTCAGAATATCATGATTACAAGCAATTTCTCATATACATATATGACCCTTTGATCTTTGACCACATGACCCTAACATCTACTCAGTTCATTGGCTCTACAAGATGTCCCGAGTTAAATAGTAATCCATCTGTCAGTTCTAATGAGAATGCGTTCACAAGCTATTTTTGCATACATAATGAGCCCATGACCTTTGACCTTTGACCTCATGACCCAAGAATCTACTCAGTTCATTGGCTCTGCAAGATACATACATGATCTAAGTTTGGGAGGAATCCATCAATCTGTTCTAATGTTAATGCGATCACAAGCTATTTTTGCATGCATAATGAGCCACATGACCTTTGACCTTGACCTCATGACCCCAAAATTTAATCAGTTCATCGGCTCTGCAAGTAACATACATGACCTAAGTTTGGCAGGAATCCATCACTCGGTTCTTGAGATAACGCGATCACGAGCTGTTTCAGCATACATAATGAGCCCTGTGACCTTTGACCTTTGACCTCGTGACCCCAAAATCTAATCAGTTCATCGTCTCTGCAAGATACATACATGACCTAAGTTTGGCAGGAATCCATCAATCGGTTCTTCAGATAACGCGATCACGAGCTGTTTTTGCATACATAATGAGCCCTGTGACCTTTGACCTTTGACCTCGTGACCCCAAAATCTAATCAGTTCATCGGCTCTGCAAGATACATACATGACCAAAGTTTGGCAGGAATCCATCAATCGGTTCTTCAGATAAGGCGATCACGAGAACGGGACGTACGTACGGACGGACAACCCGAAAACATAATGCCTCCGGCTACTTCGTAACGGAGGCATAAAAATGCATCTTAAAAATTACATTAAAATATTATTTTTAATCAAAAGATGTAAGAATGTTGGGCCAGCTTAGTTAGCACAAGATATCAATAATCATGTACATGTGGTTCCGACTCATTCATCTTCCCTTCGGTCTTACATGCAGGTAGTAGGTGAAGCTACAGGCATGCCTTATTTGAAGGGTGTCAACTTTGAAAATGTAAATATATACCTACTATCAACACGAAAACATGCAGTATACTGCATAATCATGCATGTATTTCTCTACAACAAATGTAATGACTTTTCATGAATTCCACATCAAGAACATGAAATCTAGCTAATAGAAAATATGAATGATTTTAAACAACATCTTTTCAATGATGCTAACGTACTTCCATAATTGATCATTTTTAAACACCCCCTCCCCCGAACTTGAGATGATTTGGATATTGATCTTACTTGGTGGTGCCCTCTCATTTGATTGTCCTCCACGCTGAGGGGTCTTGTCCATCTTACGCCCGCGTTCCAACCTGATGTTACTACCGTTCAGTTCAGATTCACTCAGCTCGATGGCCTTGTTGAACTCTTCCTCGGAAGCTACATCTACGTAGGCGAACCTGAGAACAGAAAGAAGGGATGGTCATCGTTATTAATGCAGTTGAGATGTTTACATTGCTAACTGGCAGAAAGCCATTTCAAAAATTATCTAAAAATCAATTAAACGCAAGTTATGTGACTGTGCACCCCATCTGGAGCAATAAACTTGACGTCATTTAGACTCGATGCCTCTCTGTACTCACACTGTATCAGCAAATATTATGATCACATTTAATTCAACAAATTCATTGAAATCTCACTTATATTTCTCAGTTCCTGTAACAGTCAATACTTTCGTAATGCAAAAAATCTTCAATGCTAGGTTCTCAGACAAATGCCTCGATTCTTAGTCAACATAGGATCCCAATTCCCAAAGGAATCTCTCATGTTTACAGTAGATCAGTCATCATAGAACAGTGCAACCAATGTAAGACCTACAGTAATGTACTCTCATAGAAAATTCAACACCCTTTGGTCATTTACCCAATAACGATGTTGTCAATCACCAGGATCAGGCCTTACTTTTCCCTCACAAAAGACTCATTTACTTCAGATACATAACCCCCATTTATGGTATTTTCACCATGTGTGGTGTCTGCGAATAATGACCTTCTGCACATTGAAACTGAAGACCATCTCCCTTTAACAACAAGCAAATGCTTTAGTGTAGATACTACAAGGCTACCATCAGAACAAGTGTGCAACAAACTAATGTAACATATGAAATAAGCTTCACTATTAGCCTAGATACAATTTCAGGGATGCCAGTTAGAATTGATCAGAGGGCCTGAAAACCATCAAGAATGAGCTATTTTGTACATACAAAAAAGCCGCTATTGCCTGAAAACTGGCATCCCTGCTCGATAAATTTTAATTTTTTAAGAAACAAATAAATGTTACATGTACTTTCTGCTCTTGACCATGCGTGCGTTGGAGCAGGTGACGCCGTTCTCTTCAAAGAACTCCTGGATCTGTTCCCCGGTAGTAGATGGGTCTACGTTGGCAATGAAGATACTGATCATGTCTGAAAGAAAGAAAGATAAGCAATGTTAGAAACCCTAATCTACATTATTGAAATTCAATTTACAATTATGTTGGTATGGATCCTAGACTGGGAATTGTGTTTGATCCATTGACAGGTCGAAAGATACACAATGTTAGAAACCCAAATCTACATTATTGAAATTCAATTCACAATTATGTGTCCTGTTTTTGACTACATTGTTGAAATTCAATTCACAATTATGTAAGAATGGATTCTGTTTTGGACTACATTATTGAAAATCGATTAAGAATTATATTAGTATGGATCCTAGACTGGGACAGGCCCACACATGATGAATTTACAATGTCCCACAGACATGTTAGTCAGAATAAAGCAATTCAAAACTGTATTTAGGGTGGGACATTGTTGACACACTTGTCACATGGTTAAACTCAAAGAAAAGTCATATCAACCTCTCATTTGCATAGAAAAGCAAACTTTCAAAATGTGATTCTCAAAGCCCTTATAAATGTATGATCGTTAACAATTGTGCACGTCAGAGTAGGACACAAACTCGATGAGAACAAACAGTATTTTGTAATGTACGATAACTCGGTAAAAGCGGGATTTGCCTGTAGATTGAAGACAAGGTGGAATCCTTGCTGAGTGTACTTACCATCACTACCGTTGGCAGGGGCTGGGGTAGAGTCACCATTGGCCTTGGGCTTCTTGGCACCAGCTGGGGTCTTGACCTTCTTTGCTGGAGGTGCGTCTGTGGTCATCAAAGAAGAAATATAGGTGTCCAATTAAACAGTCAATTGCGATAAGTACGAAAACAATTTTTGTATTTCTTTCACCATGCAAATTCAAAAGAATGTAACTATCGAGCGATCAATTCAAGATGCAAGAAATTTTTACAACGCCAGCTATGCCCAACTCTACGGCATTTACAATACAATGCTTCTTTCTACTCTGCTCCAATGTTGACCTCATCATAGTGAAATCTTGCAAATCACTCTTCGTCTCCTATTTTGCCACGAAATATACTTGCAATTAAACAGCCCTGACAAATATTGAAGTGATTAAAAAATTTAGGAATTTTAAACATCTCTCCAAACTTTTACTCACCCTCTTCCTCACTATCTTCATCACTATCCTCTTCTTCGCTACTCTCTTCTGTCTTCTTCCTCTTGACAGCAGTCTTGGTCTGCTTCACTTCCATTGCTTCCTCCTCTTCACTGTCGTCTTCATCGTCGCTATCCTCCTCCTCATCACTGCTGTCCTTCTTAGCGGGAGCAGCCTTGGCCTTGGCTGCCTTGGTTGGTTTAGTCTCCATCTCTTCTTCGCTCTCATCCTCATCACTATCATCATCACTGCTCTCCTCCTTGGCGACTACCTTCTTGGGGGCAGGTTTCTTGGCAGCGGCCTTTGCTTTGGGTTTCTCCTCCTCTTCCTCCTCGCTGCTGTCATCCTCCTCGCTGTCATCTTCATCGCTACTCTCTTCAGCAGGGGCGGGCTTAGCGGCTTTCACTGGAGCCTTCTTGGCCTTGGGTGCTGGCTTTGCAACCTCTTCTTCCTCTGAGCTGTCTTCCTCGCTGCTGTCATCGTCGCTCTCCTGTGGCTTCACGACCTTCTTGGCTCCCTTCTTAACGGGGACTTCGACCTCGTCTTCTGAAGATTCCTCACTGTCACTCTCCTCTTCAACCTTCGCAAAACAAAAAGAAAAAGGTATTATAAACAAACACATTAAAATCTTATTTGAATGTACATGCATAATGCTGAATCATTTTGATCTCTTGTAAAGTAAATTCTTCCTTTCAGTTCCAGCATTTGTGGATCAAATTGTTAATTAAATTCACTGAAAAAAAGGAACCAACTTTGCACAAAGTGAATTCAAATATTTTCAATTTCAGCACAGGTGTATTTGCGAATATATGTACCTGTTTCAAACTGTCCATAATTTTTTTCCTCCGTCTATCTAAAAAAGTTCTCTACAAAACACTCATCACACATGATCATTATGGGTAAATATCCACAATGACATGACATCCATCACATTATAGTCTGACAAGCAAATGCTGCCATGAAGGAATAAAATGTATTGTAAACCTTGCCATTTCATCAATCAAATACTTACAGCCTTAGGAGGTGGAACATTGCTGTACTTCTTTCCCTTGCCAGACCTGTAACAAAATGAAGAAAAAATAGCATAGGACATTATCAAAAAGACATTTGTAATACAGTCATACCTGCTTTAGTGATAACCTGTCTACAAAGACCACTTTTCTTGCCTCTCTTGGGTGATCTTTACAGACAGGTTGTACTGTATAAACTTAATTTCAATTTGTATTTTCTTTTCGTTGTGTACCTACAGTACATGCTTTGATATCAGTGGAAACTAGATGGAATTTTGACTGCGCGCAGTCGAAAATGATGCCTCCGCCATACAGCAATTTAAACAAGTTTGGAGCTTAAATCTCCAGTGGTTCTTGAGATATCATGATAACAATCTCAATGTATGGAATTTCATAAGTTGACCACTGTGACCCTTGACCTTTGACCTACGTGCTCCAAAATCTAATCAGATTGTCTTCCTATGGTGATACACACTATCATTAAGTTTGAAGTTTAAATCTCCAGTGGTTCTTGAGATATTATGATAACAATCTCAATGTATGGAATTTCATAAGTTGACCTCTGTGACCCTTGACCTTTGACCTACGTGCTCCAAAATCTAATCAGATCGTCTTCCTATGGTGATACATACTATCCTTAAGTTTGAAGTTTTTACATCTCCAGTGGTTCTTGAGATATCATAACAATCTCAATGTATGGAATTTCATAAGTTGACCTCTATGACCCTTGACCTTTGACCTATGTGCTCCAAAATGTAATCAGATTGTTTTCCTATAGTGATACACACTATCACTAAGTTTGAAGTTTAAATCTCCAGTGGTTCTTGAGATATCATGATAACAATCTCAATGTATGGAATTTCATAAGTTGACCTCTGTGACCCTTGACCTTTGACATACGTGCTCCAAAATCTAATCAGATCGTCTTCCTATGGTGATACATACTATCCTTGAGTTTGAAGTTTAAATCTCAAATGGTTCTTGAGATATCGCGCTAACAAACTCAATACAAGGAATTTCATAAGTTGACCTCTGTGACCTGTGACCTTTGACCTACGTACTCCAAAATCTAATCAGATCGTCTTCCTATGGTGATAAATACTATTCCCGAGTCTTAAGTTTAAATCTTAAATGGTTCTTGAGATATTGTGATAACGGTCAAACGGGACGGACGTACGGACGTACGGACGGACGTACGGACGGACAACCCGAAAACATGATGCCTCCGGCACCACCTTCGGTGGCGGAGGCATAAAAATACACGGGGGCTCAGGGCGAATTTGCCCCCGAAATGCCTAAAACAGCCCCCGAAAATCAGAAAAGAGCCCCAGTAAATTTGCATAGAGTTCAATGCAAAACAAATTTTAGAGTGTTATTTTTATGAAGGCAAGCTTGAAAAGTAGCCCCCGAAAAATAAATATTAATTTTTTCCCTGTTTGATATTGTTCAAGGAAATAACCCAGACATATTTTTTGTTATCCTTCCTCTTCATTTCTTTTTATTGTATCATTCTTCCTACAATGTGTGAACAAAAAAAAAAAAGAAAAAAGAGAATGCTTGTAGAGCATAAGTCATAAACCATTTGACACAAAGAAGAGATGTAATCAGCAACAAGAGGCAGAAATGAGGAATTTCTACCAAAATACATACACCATCAATGAAAGCAATAACATATCACTCCAGAAATCTTTGATTTTTCTGTATTAGAAGCATTGTATATTTGATTTTAAATGGTTGAATAAAGTGAATTGAAGTTAACTGAACTAAAAAACTTACTTCTTTCCTGCCTGCTCAACAGTCTTGGCCCCCTGTGAAATAAATAAGAACAAAATTGTGGGTTATCAGAGGTAATATCGTATTTGGGAATTTGGATCAGTCAAGAAATAATGAAAAACAGTGGTACAGCACAGATATGTAATACGTTGTACATGTAATATGAATTGAAAATTGACAGAACTTGAAAGTAAAGAAATTTTTGGCTGATTTTAGCACACATATTAGTTTTCATAATACCTTACACAGGCTACTTTAATACTTTACAATTGTGACTTCAAAAT